AGGGGGTTACACACTATTAAACAGCAAAAAATCCCTTAAAAACATGAGTTGATCACTTGATTTTAATAGTGTGTGACACTGTGTGACCCCTTTATGATATTCATGAATGCAAACCCTACCCATGATTGGTAGAAAATAAGGAAATCTTATCTTAAAAAAACCTTGTCATGTAACCGAGGTACATTGTCTATAACGGATTAAAAAGTTTGGTCCCAATTTTTTACTATTTGAAATCTCTTTCTATAACGGATATTGTTAATTAAACTTTTTATTATGTATAATGGATTGTACACAGGTAAACTTGATAAGTTGGTCATGAATGGCTGGGTATGATGGACCAACTTATTGAGAGAACTGACTTATAAAAACACGTGACTAAATTTTAAATAAAATTTTTTTGCTGATCATGATTTAGATTAAACAAAAGAAATAAAATCTAGACATTAAAGTATTGAAAATCATATGTTTTATTCTCTAAAACTATTGCTTTATATGATATAATTTTAAATATTTTTATTATGTAAATTTTTGAAAAAAAAAAATGGAAATACAAAAAACATCAAATTTATATGAAAACAGACAAAAATTTTATATGTTTATTGTGAAAAAAAAGAAACAAAAAAGAAAATTTATTCTAAATAAATATCCATGCTAGTTTGTATTGAAGAAGCTGCATGTTTTCTACTGATTTTCTATTTTAAATCTCTTAAACCCGAAACAAATGAACTGGCTACTTTTATGTCATCATTTTGTTGCAAGTAATCATGCAAACTTTGAATGCACTCTAAAGTGATTTTGCTGGATATTGGAGTTATGTCATCTTCCTCTTCTTCATTTTCAGGAGCTTCTTGGACTGCTGCAATAATTTCATCATCATTAAGCATTTCACTCATTTCTAAATTATCATCAATGTCAATGTAATCACTTGCATTGATGGTGATGTCATCATCAACATTCATTTGATCAACAAGTGATTGGACAACTTCATCAACATTATCATCAATTAAATCATTGTTAATTATTTCTTCATCAGGCAGAATACCAGTTCTTTCCCAGCATCTGTAAATTACATCATCAGTTATGTTTTTCCATGATTCTGCAGTCCAGTCAATTGCATTTAAGATGTTTAAAATAGGAATTTCTATTCCATGTTCTTGAAATTGATCAAATGCATATATCCTATCTTTACATAACATTTTTCTATAATTTGATTTAAAGGAATGAATTATTCCCTGATCAATTGGTTAAAGGTGGGCAGTTGTATTAGGTGGGAGGAATTGTAATCTAATGTTACTTAACACTTCACCTTCTTCTAATTGATGAGAAGAAACATTATCAACAAATAGTAAAATATTTCTTCTTTGTCTTTGCATTTTTTCATTAACTTGTTTAATCCATGATTGGAATATTGAATGTTGCATCCAAGATGTATTATTCCAATAATACCATACTGGTAATGTTTTTTTTGTCAACATTATGAATACATTTTGGATTTTTATATTTATGAATAAAAACAGCTGGTAATTTGTGAGTGCCAGTTGCATTACATGCAAGCATTATTGTAATTCTGTCTTTAGGTTTCTTTGTACCAGTAATGGAACCACTTGAAAGGGATTTGTTGGGCTCTAATTTCCAATAAAGGGCAGTCTCATCAGCATTATAAACATCATTTAAATCATATTGTGGAATTAAAGACTTCAATTCGATTCTAAATGTTGGCAATCATCAATTGGTGCACTTGCTGCCTCGCCTGATTTATAATGTTCCTTTATATTTTTTCTTTTCTTAAAATTAAACAACCATCCCCAATAATTATATAGTATAATAGATAAATAATTATTATGTGCGGATTTTTCATAAAAAAGACAAAATTAATAATACTTTCTTGTGATGCTGAAAATCCATTAATATCAAGTTTTCTAGCATAATCTATTGCCTTTTGACAAATAATAGCACCATTTATTGTACGATTTGCTCTATTTGCATGATAAATCCAAATTGTCAATGCATTTTCTAATTGTGACCATTCACCTTTACATTCTCTTTTTTTAATGGTTTCTGAATCTGCATTAATTGCAAGCCATCTAACTTTTTCTCTAAGAACATCCCCTACTGTTGATTTACCAATTTGTTCATTTGTTTTAGTTGGATTAGCAATTTTATATTCACATAATTCTTTTTTTTAATATTAGTAAGAGTGACCAATTTTCTTCCTGTCCTGCTTCCACCTTTACTAGATGATCCTTTAGTATTCATAATTATAAATGTAAATGGGATTTTAATTTGTTTGGAAGATTGTGAAATCAACCTTTTTATACATACAAAATACAATAAAAACATAAATGCATTGTACACTATACAACAAAAAAATTATTCTTTCTAAATTATCAATGAAATAAATGATGTAATTAATGATATAACTAATGATGATACAATAAAAATAATAAAAGAATAATTTATTGTTCATAATAGATATGATATAATTTTTTATGTCAGATTACAAATAATTTTTGAATAATTACACGTTACTAAAAATAGTGGGTCTGGGACACTTTACCGACACCCACTTTACCAACAAGACACTTTACCAACAGGACACTTTACCAACAGGACACTTTACCAACAGGACACTTTAC